GTATAGGGTCGGAGTAGCCGGCGTCGATCGACAAGTCACGTGGCCCGAACTTTTAGGGGTCGCCCTGGTGGATTCAATTATTGTTGACACAACGATGATATTAATGAAATGTCACATGACATGTTGGATCATGTGGATGCACAGATTTATTCGAAATTTAAAGTTAGAATTTGAAATGACATTAAATGACTAACACTCGAAATATTACATCATATTTATTCATAAATCAACAGATATTCAATAGACCAATCGGAGCAACAGAAAAACGATTCATCTAAACATTTTACCCCGCCACCTCATAAACTTTTTTAATTTTACTAATATCACCAAAAATGTCTGACGAAGAACTAGAACAAGCTGAACTAGAACAAGGAGAGCAAGAGAATCTGGTCGGGGATAAGTCAGAAGAAGTAATTGTTTTATAGGAAGAAAAATGTTTCATTGCAGGCAAATAATGTTCGTTTATTTAATGAATTACTGTTTCTATTATTTTTAGCTTATCTTTGATCCTGCACTGAAAAAGAAAAAAAAGAAAAAGAAAGCTGTTGTGTTTAATGACGACATAGAAGAAAGAGAAATTGACGAGGTTGCGAATGAAACTGAACAAATTGAACCAGGTGGTGCATTTTTCATTACGTCTTTAATAATGTCACTATAGATTTATTATATTGATTATTTTTATCTTTTGATTTAGATGAGGCTGAAGCAGCAGCAGTAGCCATTGAAAACGAAGAGAAAGAGGGAGATGATGATGCAGCCGCAATGTTCTCTGCATTAAAGAAAAAGAAGAAAAAGAAAAAGAGTCCACTTGATGCAAGTTTTTCTTTCGTTTGTCTTATTTGAAAAAAATCAAACTCTTATTTTAAATTCAAATTTTATCAAAACTCAATATAATCTAATTGTTCATTTTTTATAAATAGGAAGAAGAAAAACTAGACGAAGAAGTACCGGCAGCAGAAACAGGAGAATTTCTAGATTTGTCAACGAAAAAGAAAAAAAAGAAGAAACCTGCTGATTTATCTGAATTCGAAAAACAGCTCAAAGAAGGCGAGGAAGAAGAGACAAAAGGCCAGGAAGGTGGCGGTAGTGGAGATGTATTTGTGCATGAAGGTGGTGAAGAGGAGGAAAAGGAATCGCATGGGGAAGAAACATGGATAGGCACCGATCGTGATTACACATATTCTGAGGTAATATATAATAATAATCGTGTATTTTATACTTAATGATTATTGTCTTTCTATCAATAATAATTTACGCCATTTATTTGTAATTATGATCGATTCGATTAGCTTCTGGGCAGAGTTTTTAAAATTCTTCGACAAAACAATCCTGAATTGGCCGGTGAAAAGAAACGATACACAATTGTTCCGCCATCAGTTCATCGTGAAGGCAATAAAAAAACTATATTTGCAAATGTTGCTGATATTTGTAAAAGGTTTTATTTTTTATTCTTATCAAGTTTTTTAATTTTTTAATTAATTAACTAAAATTTAATTATTATAGAATGCATCGACAACCGGAGCATGTTATTCAATTCCTGTTTGCCGAATTGGGGACAAGTGGCTCGATTGATGGCTCTCAACGTCTCGTGATCAAAGGTCGATTTCAACAAAAACAAATTGAAAATGTGTTGCGTCGATATATAGGTATATATAATTATATAATTATTTTTATTGATTTACGGTTTAAATTTATTTTTACATTTTTTTTATTTTAATAGTTGAATATGTTACATGCAAAACATGTAAATCGCCCGACACTATATTAACAAAAGAAAATCGTATCTTCTTTATGCAATGTGAGAGTTGTGGGTCTACTCGTTCTGTTTCGGCTATTAAATCAGGTTTGTTTTTGCATTTTGGTTGAATTTTTTGTTATGTTTGGCTTGCACGTGAAAGTTTGGTTTTTGATGAATCATTATTTTTTATTCTTAATTAGGTTACCATGCACAGATCGAAAAAAGGGCAGCCCAAAGAAGAGCCGCTCAATAAAAACAGCCAAAATCTATATAATTTTTCTAATATTATTATTCCATCAGCTTGTATGGTAATCCTTTATCAAAAATTAATATTATCACAAAAATTAATAACTAAATATTTAATGACCCATTAATGTTGATATCACGTGGGGACGATGTAAAGCATTTCACATTGTTGATGGCGTATTTAATTTATTTTAGACTAAAAATCAATTTTAATTTATATGTATTGTTGAATTAATATGTATTGTAGAAAGGTAGAGTTATACATAACATACAATCATAGAAATGAAAACAATGGAAGTTTAATATTAATAATTTGAAATCGTGAAATTGCCACAAGTGATAAGAAACTGTCAGAATCACATGACCAACACCTTTTCGTGCTTCCACTATGAATATTTTAACCTTTGGGTTTGTGAAAGGTTACCTTCCAGGATAGAGTATCTCCTGAACTATCGAGAATCTTCCGCATCAAACTCTTGATAGAGTATCTAGCTGGGGAGATTCTCCGAAAAGATATCTGATAACGCAAAACTGAATTTGGGGAAATCTGGGCATCCAGTATATCATTCGTTGAATAATGACATCAATTGTTAATACTAAAATAAAAATTTATATTTTCGTTAGATATTCTTACTTTAAAAGTAATCTCAAATGATCAGAGTGTATGGTATGATTTTAAATATAATGATACTGAAAACATTATTAGTTTGATTGTCCCTATAAATTATTCAATAGACATAGTATAAGGGTAGAAACTGAACTGTCTTGCTAGTTCCCTAAAAAATGTACGGTGCATGTGATGATGAACCAATCCAACCAATAAGAATGCGCAAAAATTCTACGCAACCAATAGGAATGTAGCAAATTTTTGATCAACCCGATAAAACAAATCCGTTACAAGAAAATGAGAAAATGTCTAAATCTAACGCACTATCAAAAAATGTCAGAAAGACAATTTTATATATAACTTTAAACTTAACCCTAATACTTGATATCTAATATTAATTCAGATCACGTGCACCATACATTTTTTCGTCATGGCTAGGGTTGCTATATTCTATAAATATAGATCGACGAGTTTTTTTAATCACAAACAATGAAAATCGGTTGGTTTATAATATTTTGCTTTTTATTTTTTGATACTTAATAATTATTCGTTTTTTGTTTTAAAGCTTGCCTTCAATTTAATCCAATTCTTGGTCAATTTGAACAGAATCAAAAACGAGCATCTGAGTTTCTTGCAAAGTAAATATTTATAAGAACAAGCTAATTATACGTGTCAATTTCTAATATGTAATAAATAAAAGATACGGACCTCAAGATATCGATGTAGTGGTTCTTCCAGAATTAGCATTTACCGGTAAATATTTTATCTAGTTACTTTCGACTTAAATAAATAGATTAAACTTTGTCATTATTTTTTATATTTTGCTTTTTTCAAGGTTATGTATTCAATGATAAAGATCATATACGCCCCTTTTTGGAGGATGCAGAAACCGGGCCTACTGTTCGTTGGGCAAAAGAACAAGCTGCACGATTAAAAGCATTTGTAATGGTTGGATATCCTCAACTAGTAAAAGGTAATTAATTGATGAACTTAATTTATCAAAAACCAATAAATCAATTCATTAATTCAATAATAGGTGAAACTGACCGATATTACAACAGCATCTGCTTTGTAAATCCACAAGGAGAGTTGGTCATCACCTATCAAAAACATTTTCTTTACTCTACCGATGAACAATGGGCCGAGGAAGGTCCAGAATTTAAATCTGTTTGGGTGGACGGATTGGGAAAGGTACTTAAGTGATTCAATCTATTAGCCGCCGCGTCTTCTTTACTAATATAATTTGTTGCCATTTTACTGATTCACGATAGGTCGGATTTGGCATATGCATGGACCTCAACCAATATAAATTCAGGTCACCCTGGAGTTCTTATGAATTCGCAACCTTCCATCGCGAAAAAAATACCCAAATAATTTTATGTTCGATGGCGTGGCTTGATTCTGACGTTTCTGACGACGAATGCTCGGATGTTTCAAATTATTGGTGTGCACGGATGGTACCACTCTATTATGATCTTATCTCTTCACATAAAACAAGGAATCATCATGATAATCTAGCCGAAGAGGAAGAAGGTCGGAGAAATGAGGGGGATGTGATATTTGTTGTTTGTAATCGTACTGGAACCGAAAATGGTATGTATATATGCGATAAATAACAATTTTTTTTATTATATGATGTTAATATTATTAACAAAATTAATAGGAACTACTTTTTGTGGAAGTAGCGGTGTATTCCTATTATCTCCAAAAAACAATGAGGCTAAACTATTGAAGGGGCTTAAAAAGCGGGAAGAAAATGTTTTGCTAATTGATGTTTCTAATAATTTAGACGGCAAAAATGATAATTTGTGATATTAGAAGTTGTGTGTATTTTATTAGAATGTATTTAGTTCTTTATTGCTTTTTTACGTTTGAATTATACATGTTTTCGTTGTAAACCGTAATAATAATATTATTTATAAAGGTGTACATGATCATTACTATACATTCAATTGTACATTGTACAAAGACAAGAGTAACTCGCTGGATTCTTTTACATTAAGAAAGATTTATGCGATAACCAGAAGGATAAATAAAATTATCAAGGCGTTGCTCTTATGAATCGTTTATTAAGATGGAAATACATATCATACGCCCAATTAAAGACGTCCTGATCATCAGGTCCTGTCTTGAATATTGCTTTGTACAAGATTCGATCCAAAAGAGTGCCTGTTATTGGTTCATACCATTCTCTTATCGTATCAAAGTTACGATTATTATCTTCATATAGTGCACCTATCAAAGCTTCGACATAATCAGCGATATCCTTTGTGGTTAAGTTACGTGGACCTCCAGCTTCTTCAACCACAAGTGTCCGAATGTCCAGAATATGCCCAATCACTGCCAGAGTTTTGTTACTTACAAAGAAGTTGATTGCATATTCAATATGATCCATTATTCTTTTTTTATATTGACGTAAGAGGGGATGCTTTTCAGCTCGGTCAAATGCCATATGATTGGCTAGATGTTGGAGTACTCGGTCTCCAAGATGCTCTAGACGTTCATAATTACAACTGACATCCTTATTTATGCCGGAATGAGTTAGTGCAACTTTTCTGAGAGTGGGATTTTTGAATACTGGTAAGGTTGGATAACGATCTATGTGGACACAAATGAAACTTTAATACGAATTATTATTTATTTGATCAATGAGAACATCGAAGCAACGAACTAATAATTTACTTATTTTCATTCCTGGTAAAGGTTCAATATTGCGAACATTAATTCGCAAATCTTCAATATCGCCAATATTAACTGGCAATATTGGCCGAGCCTCATGAAGATAGGCAAGATTAGCGGAGGTGGTATTTTGTCTTGAAAGTAATGCAGAAGCATATGGGTTGGATGTTTGACTGTAATAATACTGTGCAGTATTTTTATTATCATCTTCATCGTCAGAAATCTCGATTATTTCGATTCCACCTGGTTCTTGAAGTTCATCTTCATCGTCAGAAATTTCAATAATTTCGATTTTATCATTATTATAAGTTTCAAGAGATCCATTCTTATCATTCTCATTCTTCAAATTTTCATATACACGTTGAAAATTTGAAAAGCTTTGCAACACATTACTACTTAATGTCAAATCAGTGTCATTCCTAATTTGAGAAATGTGCGTGTTAAATTCTTCCAGAAAAGCTCTCGTCCTGGGATTAGGCAAAATCTGTTGCTCTGGTTGCTGTCGTGAGTCATGTTGAGAAGAGGAAAAGGACGACAGCTCAGAATTTCGCTCCCTTGTTGTTGTTATCTTGACACTATGATCAACTTCAGTAGGGTCTGGAAATTTTTCATTTTGATTTATTACCAATTCCGCGACTGCATGGCCTACTACCGGACAATAAAGTTGTCCATTATATTTGTAGTGTATTGGTGCTTCTGTTGAGTTATTCATAATTCTGGTCGTCTATCGTTAACGTTAATAATAAATAATAATACAAAAAATCAGTCAACTATTGGGCAGAATAATTTATTTTCGAAAAATGTTCATCAAGTATTATAAAGTAGTCCGACTTCTTCAAAGTAACAATAGTTGTTTGCTTAATTTTCACGCCGGTAGTTATAGTCTAGTATCTCAAAAATGCACTCGTGTCTTATTACATACTTCTCGAGACTTTCGTCAAGCAAATCAGGAGGAAGAAACAACAAAAAAGGATAAAACGACGCGTTCTTTTACAGGTGAGAATAGAAAAGCCCATTTACGCAAATGCAAAGCTGTTTTTTTTAAGCAATAAAATTTCTAAATTTATAAATCTATCTTGGTTTTAATAGAACATACTCTTTTGGTATTAGTTTTAATAGAGCATACTCTTTTGGTATTAATTAAATTTATTTTTAGAAAGACTTAAAGAACGTCTTAATAATACCGAAGTGAAATGGTACTCAATTCCAGTAGGCGCTGGAATTGCAGTTATCGTCATGGAAAACTTTTTGCATCATATTAAAAAGTATGATGAAGAGCAGGAACGAAAGAAAAATGCAACAAAAGAAGCAGTGGATGATTTGACAAAGCGTCCCGCCATTAGTGGGCCTTGGCAGGTAAAATCATAAGTATTTAAAAGATGTATATCTAGTTTATTACTAAATTTTCGTCGTTGAATAAACCTAGGTTCACGTTTTGGGAGCTCTTCCGCTTCGAGCTTTATCTCGATTGTGGGGTAGACTTAATAATGAATTGACTTTGCCTGTTTGGTCACGGGAGCCTTTATATCGTCTATATAGTAGTGTGTTTGGCTGTGATTTAAAGGAAATGGAGGAGACAGATCTTAAGAGATATCCGAATTTAGGATCATTTTTTTATAGATCACTTAAACCTAGCTTGAGACCAATTGAAAATAATCTTTTGGTAATTTTTTTATTATTATTTGACATCGATTGCATACATCTCTTAATAATGGATTCATTATCTATTAATTAGGTGTCTCCCGCAGACGGTAAAATGTTAAGCTTTGGCATGATCAATGAAGGCAGAGTGGAGCAAGTAAAAGGAGTCACTTATTCATTAGATGCTTTCTTGGGTCTTAATAAACAGACTGAAAGGGTGACTTTTATCACAATTAACAGTGATATGACTTTGGTCGATGAAAAAGAATTTGCAAATGTAAATGGTATTCAGTATACATTAGACACACTTTTAGGCGATGATCCAACTCAAGCTGTTCAACAACAAAGTGAAATTGATGATGACTCGATTGTAGCATCATTTCAGGAAGGGAAAAATAACGAGAGTCGAGAAGCCATAGTATCAAAAAGTGTGCTCAAGTCCCCATTGTACTCTGAAGAAACGCAATATCAGCATCATCATAATAATCATACAGTGCATAAGGAAAATGCTTTATTCTTTTGTGTTATATATTTGGCACCTGGAGATTATCATCGATTTCATTCACCGACGAATTGGGTCGTGGAAATGCGACGACATTTTGCTGGTAATTTTAGTTTCTTGTGTCTGACATAATTTTCTACGTGTATTCATCTTTTTTTTTGTTTTAGGTGAACTTTTCTCTGTTTCTCCGTACATGACCAATTTGATGCCTGATTTATTTGTGCTGAATGAACGTGTTGTATTAGTTGGACGATGGAAGTATGGTTTCTTTTCGATGATTCCTGTTGGTGCTACCAATGTCGGCTCTATAAAGATTAATTTCGATCAGGTATTTTAAAATCAATTATTTTTGCTTCTCTCGTGGACATTTTGCTAGTCGAAAATAAAATAAATCATCCTTCAGGCTCTTAGAACTAATCGAAAAGAGGATTTGGTGGTTGGAAAATATACCGAAGTGTCATACCGAAAAGCTAGTAAGCTGTTGGGTGGTCAACCGCTAAAAGCTGGTGATGAAATGGGTGGATTCGCATTGGGCTCCACAATCGTATTGGTATTTGAAGCACCCATTCAATTTGCTTTTTCCATCGTTCCTGGACAAAAAGTTAAATATGGTCAAACTTTGGGCGATTTAATATCATGAGAGCAATGGTGGTGATAATGACATAATAAAATGTTAAATAATTTTTGGCGATGATCAGCATTTATTGAGTTTAATAAAATGCCGGGCAGTACAAACCAATAAGAATGCGCAAACTTTTTATCAGTCCGGCAAATTTACCCCAAATTCTGATTGGTTGAGGATATTAAAGATTAATTTTAGTGTTAGGGTTAAGGGTTAGGGTTAGAGTCAAGGATAAGATTATATGTAAAATTGCTTTCCCAATATTTTTTATTAGTGCTTCAAGCCAGATTTAAGCATTTGTTTTTCGTAAATTTAATATTATTCGTATTTTTAATTTTCTTGTGTCAGATTTGTTTTGCCAAATTGATCAAAAATTCATGAATTTTTATTGGTTAATCTAAAAGATCCAGTGTGCAATCAACCAATTACAATTTGCAATGAAATTAGTTAGTCATGGCAAAAAAAGAATGATTCATGTAATTTTGCAAATTGATCTTTTTGCATATTTGATTTAATATAGTCAAATCTCTTTATAGTCACACTTCTCTATAATTATTCTATTTTGCTTTTCTAAGGATGATAATTATTGTAAAAATACTTTCTTATGTGAAAAGTAATAAGATAAATTTATTAATTGAGATAGTTTTCAGTTTTAATTTTAATAAAGCTTATTTCTTTATTTATTAAATAGTGAAAAGATCTAAA